TTTWAARRAWTTTTTTGCAAATAATGGTGGAAAATAAGTATTTGGTCAATAACAAAAGTTCATCTCAATACTTTGTTGTTGGCAATGACAGAGGTCAAACGTTTTCTGTAAGTCTTCACAAGGTTAGCACACACTGTTGCTGGTATGTTGGCCCATTCCTCCATGCAGATCTCCTCTAGAGCAGTGATGTTTTGGGGCTGTCGGCGGGCAACACGGACTTTCAACTCCCTCCAAAGGTTTTCGATGGGGTTGAGATCGGGAGACTGGCTAGGCCACTCCAGGACTTTGAAATGTTTCTTACGAAGCCACTCCTTTGTTGCCCTGGCAGTGTGCTTGGGATCATTGTCATGCTGAAAGACCCAGCCACGTTTCATCTTCATTGCCCTTGCTGATGGACGGAGGTTTGCACCCAAAATCTCACAATACATGGCCCCATTCATTCTTTCATGTACACGGACCAGTCGTCCTGGTCCCTTTGCAGAGAAACAGCCCCAAAGCATGATGTTGCCACCCCCATGCTTCACAGTTGGTATGGTGTTCTTTGGATGCAACTACACATTCACTTTCCTCCAAACACGACGAGTTGTGTTTTTACCAAATAGTTCTACTTTGGTTTCATCTGACCATATGACATTCTCCCAATACTCTTCTGGAACATCCAAATGCTCTCTAGCAAACTTCAGACRTGCCTGGATATGGACTGGCTTAAGCAGGGGGACACGTCTGGCACTGCAAGATCTGAGTCCCTGGCGTCGTAGTGTGTTGCTGATGGTAGCCTTTGTAACATTGGTTCCAGCTTTCTGCAGGTCATTCACTAGATCCACCCTTGTGGTTCTGGGATTTTTCCTCACCGTTCTTGTGATCATTTTGACCCCACGGGCTGAGATCTTGCGTGGAGCCCCAGATCGAGGGAGATTAGTAGTGGTCTTGTATGTCTTCCATTTTCTGATTATCGCTCCCACAGTAGATTTCTTCACACCAAGCTGCTTGCCTATTGCAGATTCAGTCTTCCCAGCCTGGTGCAGGTCTACAATTCGGTTTCTGGTGTCCTCCGACAGCTCTTTCGTCTTCACCATAGTGGAGTTTGGAGTGYGACTGTTTGAGGTTGTGGGCAGGTGTCTTTTATACTGTTAACAACTTCAAACAGGTGCCATTAATACAGGTATTGAGTGGGGGAAAGAGGAGCCTCTAAAAAAAGAAGTTACAGGTCTGTGACAGCCAGAAATCTTGCTTGTTTGTAGGTGACCAAATACTTATTTTCCACCATTATTTGCAAAAAAATTCTTTAAAAGTCAGACAAAATGATTTTCTCAAAAAAAATTTTCACATTTTGTCTCTCATAGTTGAGGTCTACCTATGATGTCAATTACAGGCCTCTCTCATCTTTTTAAGTGGGAGAACTTGCACAATTGGTGACTGACTAAATACTTATTTTCCCCACTGTACATCTGCAACTCATTAACTTTTAGAATCAACCCAATTCAAAATGGCTGCCACAGCTAATTATTCTTAGAAAACACAAAAACTTTATTTTTCAAGTGATGAGCTGAAATTTGGTGTGGTAGTAGCTGAGTCTAACAAATGGTGTTTAAAGCTGCCATATAAGGTGAGGAATGCCACATTAATTTTCTTTATATGCATTTTATTTACCTTTCTTTTATACTTTGTACAATTTTTCAACAAGAAAAGCTGAAAAAATGTGTCATCTTAAAAGGTTTTCAGTCAAAGAATTTGAAATGTAAATTATGAACTGTAAAGAATCAACAATGACTGCAATTAATGTCTAAAACTCTCCCCAACCTCTGAATTGTGGTATCTAACTGTACTTTATACCAATAATGAGTAAAATTTATTAATCATGTAGAATGTTTAATACTTTCTGTCAAATCTGAAGAATTTTGTTTTGCTTTTTATCATTTGTTATTAAAGGTTTTAGTGCTACAATGACACAATTATCCTGTTTCTTCCTATACAGGTTTCATTTTTGTCGCTTTTATCTACAAACTTATAAAAATAACTTTGTTTTTGTGTTTTTTTTCTTCCGGTCATGGTTAAAAACCTTCATTGCACAAAAACTAACAACTGTTGCAAAACAAATGTGGACGTTACTCCATAAAGTCATGCTTCAGAAGCAGTGTTTCACCTAAATACAGGGTCCTTTGTGTTTTAAAACAAAGTACAATTTTATTAGATTAATCTAATAAAATTGTATTAGATTAATCTAATAATTTTATTAGATTAAACTAATAAAATTGTGACTGGAAGAAAAAAACTCATTAAACACCTAGCATTCCTTTCATTGCAAAACGACAGCGTTGTAGTCATGCTGTGAGATACCACACTCATTAATTAACAATTTAATACTTTTTGAAAGTTTCAATAAAATGTTTGGTGGTCCATGATCATTATACAGACACACAAATGTCCCCCGTTCTCGCCTTTCAGTAGACTATAAAGATTAGTATTAAAAAACTATACTTTAATAAATGAAAATTGTGCATTCAGAAATGTTTTCTTTTGGGAAATTATCATGTAAATCTCCCGAGCCTATTTTATTACTCCCGAATTCTTTTTTATTATTATTTCTCTCAGACTGAAACAGATGTTACTGACTTTAATAAACATTTACCTGTCATAATAACTCACCTGACAGTTCGTGGCCTGTAGATCTGCAGACTTTAGTTCCAGCAGCAGGCCTGATTTAAACATGTTTGTCACTCAAACATGTTAAACCTTCAGTCTGACTCCCTGCCAACCCAGATTCTGACCTTTGATTCACCTTTCCTGACTTGAGCAATTAGCTTCCAACTGATCCTGTCCCAACAATAACAAGTCTGCGGTGAATTAAATACCGAGGTTCAGGGCCCACTCTCTGGGTCAAAGTGAGAATATTAGCCGCCGCTGTTTTAATAAAGGTCACAGCTCAAAGTCAAAGTGGGAGCTTGTGTTGATAAGAAAATAAAAGCCTGTTGCTTCACATTTAGTTTGTCATTGAACAAAAACAGCACAGGTTTGATTATTTTTAAAAAGCTGAACAGAAGGATTATTTCCCACACAGAAAGATTCAGTGTTACAGATTTGAGTTCTTCTGTTACATGAATGGAAATAAGAAAAATCCCAGCATACCTCTGTCCTCTGAGGGTGACGCTGCTGGAAGAGGAGCAGATCAACTTCTGACACAAAGCTACAAATCAGCTGATAAGCAGACATGCATGCTGGTGCTGGCAAGGGAATAACAAGATGGACAAGCTGTGCTGAAGTCTCCCTCCTTCCCTCACTCACACCTCCCTCCTCCACCACCACCTCACAAATCCATGACACAACAGTTGGCAGGAGAGGAGTCAGTGATGACTCGGCTCTTCGGGCAACATGGACTCTGATTAGACTTTGAGCTGTTTGTTGATGATGTATCATCAGATCCTCAAAGGGTGAGGGGTTCACTTGGGTAAACGGGGCTCTCTTTGAGTTTTACCTTCCAAATGCCAGATCAGAAATCACAGCAGGTGCCGGGAGGACGCTGAGTGGAAAAAAAAAAAAAAAAAAGCATGTCAGACAGGGAGAAGAGCTATTTCTAAAACTGAACTTTCCAACTTCTAGTTCCACCTGCTGGTAACACACGCAACATGATTTAGACCCAGCATGACAAGTTTAACATTTGATTTTTACATTAAGTGGTAATGTATGGAGAATCAAAACTGACATAATTAGAAATAAAAGCAGAAATATATGAATGGCTCAATAAATAAATAAATACATTGAAAATGCATCAATTAAATTGACCATCATTTATTTTTCCAGCTTAGTTCCAACAAATTATATATTTTACCATATAATTTAAATTTTTCTGTTTATATATATATATATATATAATTGACCATCATTTATTTTTCCAGCTTAGTTCCAACAAATTATATATTTTACCATATAATTTAATTTTTTTAAAAGATATTTTTTTATTTTTTCTTTAGCTTGCATACGTATTTGTGTCTCTTAAATTACTATATGTATATTTTCTTTTTTCTACAAGACTTTTTATTTCCATATGTTGCTTTTACATTTCTTTGTCTCCCGTATTTACATTTCCTTATGCATTTCTGCCTCATTATGCACATAAGGTGGGCGGTCCTTCTTGGTTCAGCTCCTCTCAGACAAGAAGGACTGCTCCTTCCTGCGATCCATGTGCAGATTGATGGTTCATGGTTGTGGTGCCTCTGTTTAGCTTAAAGTTTAAAGTTTAGTTTAAAACAAAGGCACATGTTTTCCTCCTTTCCTTTGTTTTAAACTAAACTTTAACTTTAAACAAACCTGTTTCTTTTAMAGTCAGGATGCTGTGTCGTTTGGTATGTTGAGTTCTGTTTAACAAACTAAACATAAAAAATCTATTTTTACTGTCTGAGCTGGGAAATCTCAAATTATTAAAGTTATAWTTAATTTTAAGGTCCAACAGCATATACATTAAATTAAATTATAGGCCTATATGGATTTTACAATTCTACTTAAAAAAGTAAACCCTTTACATGGGATGTAATACAGAAAGGCGCACATAAGTATAAATTGCACATACAACTTTTTTTAAGCCAACACTTCAAGTTTTGTTTTTGTTCACAAACTGGGCTAGATGGCGCTCATGTTGTATTTTGCTCAATTGTTTTTATGCAAATAAAGTAAATAACTAAAACTTATGCATGTAATTTAAAGGGGAGTACTTTATAAATTGCATAATTTTAATAATAATAATAATAATAATAATAATAATAAACTTTTAAATAGCACCTTCCAACAATGCCTTGCATCGACCAAAGTGCATCACAAGGTAAAAACAAATACAATCAAGTCATAATAAATCAGTATGAGTTAAAAACACAAATTACAATAAAAGAAAGTAAAAAAGATATAAGATGCTTTAACTTTTAATTGTTTAAATGAGGAAATCGATCCTAATATCATTTTGTTTATTTTTTTTCACTGTGTTTTTGTGTTTTACCTCTCAGTCCAGTGGGTGGCGGTAGTGAGCCCTGCAGCTGATTCCCGGAAGTCCTAGTAAACGTCACGTGACTTTTGAGGCAGCTGATCTGCTGCGGACATCTTTACGAGTCACGACTTGCTTCCATTAATTCAAACCGTCTCTGTGATTCTTGGGTATATTTCACCATATTTAAACCTCGCATTTGTATGGCGAAAATATTTTTGTGAGTGACAGTTTGTATTTTTTGTCGTTTTAGTTTTTTATTGGTTTTGTTTTTTTCTTGCAGGCCCCGGTGGATCTTTGACAGCCGTGACCATGGCGCTCAGCGATGCCGACGTTCAGAAGCAGGTAATAAACTATTAATCTTTAAAATGACAACACACCGAAATACTTTAAGATGTAGTTTTAATGCTGCTGGTAAAAAATATTAAGTGTATTAAAAGGTTTCTATGCTCTGTAATGTGTCTTGTGTATGATGACATTGAAGTAGCTTCAGTAATGCTAGCACTTAATTGTGATTTTACAAAGCAGTGTAATAGCTGTGTTTAAAGGCAGATGTTGCACTGAATAACCCCCTGTTACACTTGTATAAAGAGTCTTGTAGCAGCAGGTGTAATAGTGGAGTCTTTGGCTGACTCACAGGGTCATATTTCCAAATGATCACATGATGAACACATGCTAAAGCCTGAAGAGGAACTTCAAATGAGTTGGACGATATTTTAATGGAAACAAATCTTCAGAAGACCCAACAATAAGTCTGCAGACACGATCTGGACATTCATCGTAACGGGATTAACCAGAAACAGTGTTTAGAAGAGGGATTAATGTGTTCAATAGTCTGTTGATATTTATATTTTTTTAGTGTTGTGCTCAGATCCAAAGTCTTTCCCACATCTTTCAGAAAATTTCAGGCTTCTAATAGCTGCTTGGTTATTAGAAGCAGTTAAGGAACTTCTGTATTAATGACATTCACTCCCATACAGTTATCTTATGGTATAGGTTTATTTCCATTTTAATGAGACCAATTTCTTCATTTACAAACTGGTTTACCTTTAAAAAAGTATTTTATAAATATTTTAAGTTGCAAAACTATGCAGAGGACTAAAGTTTTGAGTCTCTTAAATTGCTACCATGAATTTTAATATTCAACAGCAAAATACTCATTGGCTTTCAAAAGGTCTTTGTAGAGAAATTACTTAAATCTGACAACTTTTTGCTATTGTGTCGACAGAGACCTTATTGAAGAATCCATTTTAAGTAGTCTTTATTTTGCCAGTCACTTTTTTGAGTTAAAATGAAAAATACCAAAGATGGCAGTTTAACAGAAAATATATTTACAATATGACAAATTTATATTAGAATAATGATTTTTCAGATACTGTCAGCTATTTGAATTGTTTACATTTTCTTAAAGTCAGGACTTAATTTATCTGTAGATTTTTTTCTTTTGCATTAAACTTCCTGTGTTTCACTTGTCCCATTTCCTCATTTTTAAAGCGCGCACAACACACACAGTCATGATCAGAACTGGACAGAGTTGAAAAAGCTTTATTGCAATTACTTTTCTGGGACAAAAACTTAGGGGTGAATTTAATAAACTTGACCGTGACAATTTGGACAGTATTTTTAAAAAAAATTTTCAGTTACACAAAACGTACATGGCATTTCTCACCAGTGGGATAGTTCAGAAGATGTGCAAAGCCAATGTGCCATTTTGTATCAAGGACATTCACTAGTTCTTAATTTTTTTACTCTGGTTCAGTTTTTTAATTTTTACTCTGGTTCAGTTTTTGTGCAGTTTTGCAGAGAGGGATCCTGGAGTCCCACCACATTTCAGACAAGCTGAAAAATAAACACAGAACTTTGGGGTGAATGGAGAAAAAAAAACCCTCAGGAGTTAGGGAATTTGACCTTAGTGCATATAGATAATTATAATAGTGTTTAGGGAAGAATTTTTTTGAAGACTGATTTGTTCTCATCTCTGTTTCCAGATCAAGCACATGATGGCCTTCATTGAGCAGGAGGCCAATGAGAAGGCAGAAGAAATAGATGCCAAGGTATAAACATTTCATTGTTCAGTGTCGTAAATAGGACAAAATTGTTGCAGCCTCAATAATGCACCAATTTCTTTCTTATTCCAAATAGAGAAAACCACATTTCTATCAGTATTTATTGGTGGCAAAGTTCAACGCCTTAAAATGAAAATGGTTTAAGAGGCATAAGTGACAAAAGACGATTGAACAGCAATGAGAGCTTCTCTAAAACAACCAGTCACCAGGGATTAGTTCATAAATTAAAGTTTAAAAAAAAGGCAGTTTGTAACCAGTTATTTCATACCCTGCATGAGCTGGGGTAAATAACCGGACGATACCAGCAAAGAGAGTTTAGTCCCAGCCAWATAGTGAAGATTAGTGCCAGGTCTCCAAGTCAGCAAACCAGGAAGTGGAGCCGCCACCTGGTTTTCCAGTGCAGTCATTCTTTCATTGGGAGTCTGCACATCCTTGTCCTCTAAACACAGACATGAATCAAACATATGAAACACACAGTAGTAAAAATGAAATGTGCACTTTCCTTAGTGAGTGTTGAATCAAGAACTAACACCTGAGGACAGACGACGTGCTGAAGCAGTGGGGCTTATCCTCAAACTCCATTTCTGCACTGATTCTAACAGCCCGGCCCAAATAAGTGCGAGACTCCACCCACTTTTTGTCCTAGCAAATGGCAGAACAGCAGTCATTAAGTTCAGGGAAGGGAGCAATTCACAACAGGTGTGGCTAATCATCATGCTTGAACCCAAATGAACCCAGGGATCATTTATGTTTCTTTTCAAAGATAGGACATCACATCGTTTAAGAAGAAACATTCATTCAGTTCTTTAAATTAAATTTGAAAAACAAAAAAAAGCCTTTTATTTCTAAAACCTTCCCGTCTCCTCCTGCAGGCAGAGGAAGAGTTCAACATTGAGAAGGGCCGACTGGTCCAAACCCAGAGGCTGAAGATAATGGAGTACTATGAAAAAAAGGAGAAGCAGATCGAGCAGCAGAAGAAAATGTGAGTCGTGGCGAGACGTCCCGTGACACACCGAGTCTTTTTAAGATCAAAGCCACAGCTTTATGTGGTTCAGTGAATTTATTTAGCCGCCTCACCCCACTGTAACCTTCCACATGGATAAATATAGTCCCACTTTACAATCTAAGCAGCTCCAATGTGTGTGTTGTTTATCTGTTTAACAGCCAAATGTCCAACCTGATGAACCAGGCTCGACTGAAGGTCCTGAAGGCCCGGGATGATATGATCTCTGTAAGCCACCTCCCACGCGATTAAAACATGCAGATTAATAGCGTCCAGTAGAAATATGAGATACAGGTATTATATAAACTGATACGACTGTTTCCTCAGGACATGCTGAACGAGGCCCGCCAACGGCTCGCTAACATCGCTAAAGACCCAAGCAGGTACTCAGCTCTGATGGACGGATTGATCCTGCAGGTTTGTTTACATTCCTGACCTCCACTTTCTCTCATTTATATCACAAACCTGTCAGCTGTATGTATTCTGGAGAATGTAGGGAATTAATTCAAGTTTGATTGATTTTATTAAATCTAAATTAAGACACAAATTAAAGCCTCAAAAGCAGAAATGTGCTTGTATTTAGTTTAAACGTCTTCTTTCCTGAAGTTGCCAACAAATAGCTTCGTGTTAATAAACCCTGAAATGTAATAAACATGAGACATTAACTCTGAGGTTGCAGTATTTAATACATGTGAGTCAAATTAACTTCTATTCATGGAAATTTCCTCAGAGAAAATTATTATCTTTGATGTGGCTTATTTTCGTAACAAACAGTTCCTTTGTTAAAATGTGAGTTTGAAATAAAGTTTCCAACTATTTTAACTAGGTTGATATAAACTGAGTTACCACAATGACTTTTTCTTTTATTAAAGAGCTGCTTATTTGATGAGACAAGTGGTTTGCTTGAAACAAACACAAAAAGAACAAGAAAGTGATATAAATATTTTTGTGTCAGGGGTTCTATCAGCTGCTGGAGTCCAAAGTGACGATTCGCTGCCGTAAACAGGACCTTCCGTTGGTGCAGGTGAGAATTCTTGATGCTCAAAATGATTATTTAGCCAAGCGGCAAAATGTGACACTGGGAAATTCTGCTCATTTTTTGTCTTCCAGCAATCCATCCAGAAGAACATCCCCATTTATAAAGCAGCTGTGAAGAAGAGCCTGGAGGTYCGCATCAACCAGGACAACTTCCTGTCCCCAGACGTGTACGCTGCGTCGCACTTTTAAACACTTTAAACATCACAAGTTCAATTTCTACTTGGAAGTTTGACATCTTTTTCTTCTTATTTTTTATTTTTCTTATACTTGGTCCTTGAAGCTCTGGAGGTATTGAGATCTATAATGAAGATGGGAAAATCAAAGTGTCCAACACCCTGGAGAGTCGACTGGAGCTCATGGCTCAGCAGGTGAGAAACACACCTGGAACCAGTTCACCTCATAGACAGCCATGTGTTTATTTATTTTAATATTTTTAATTTAGGATTTTTTTTATATTTTATGGGATTTTATACATATGTTTTTAATAATTATCTTGACCTGGGTTTGTGCACAGGTGTATCT